CTATTTTACCCCCGGTCAAAGTCAACTTCCTGGTCAAAGTCAACTTCCTGGTCAAAGTCAACCTCCAGTTGACCGGACTCGCCGAGTTGGGCCGCCAACTCGCCGAGCCCCTTTCATCCGTTTTAGTTCTCTACTCGCTTCTACTCGTCGAGTTTGGCGAAGACTCGACGAGTTCTTCTTCGGTACATACATCGAGTCTAACTTCATCCGACTTGCCGAGTTGTATGAACAACTCGTCGAGTTCTCCTTCATCATATGAACATGTCTAGTCTACGACTCGCCGAGTCGTAAGAACTACTCGTCGAGCCTGAAGAACAACTCGCCGAGTTGAAGAACAACTCGCCGAGTCCCAAGCATGCTATTACTATACAGTCGATTCTAATCGATTTCAGTGCTTCTAAATCATAGATCTGAGCTTCTAGGACTGGTTTTACACGTAAAGTTTCCTAACTTTACGTGCATGCACAAGGGTATGAGGCTAAAATACCCAAAATCATCAACTACTAAGCACTTAGGGTTTGGAACAAGGCCAAGATTGCATAAAGGTGGCTATAATGAGCTTCTGGAGTTCAAGAGGGGCTAGATCTGAAATATAACTCGATCATAAAGCTTTATTACAAGAGATTTGGGGTTTTTGAGCTTAATATCAACAATTTTGGGGACAAACTAGATCTATTAGATCAATAGACAAGATGGAGACTTTATTACCAGAAAAGATGACCACAAAGGAGTATGTCCCAGATCTACTTCTTCTTCCTTGAACTCTTCAACCTTCTCCTTCTTCTACTTGCTCCAAAATGCACCAAAAGTTCCTTCACAAGGCAACAATCACTCACACACTCTTTAAGGAGGCTAGGGTTTGATAAGAAATGTTCTGAGGGTGATGGAGGCGAGGTTGGGGCGCATAAATGTGTTTAAATAGGGTGCAGACCCTTAAAATTAAGGCTTCATCCAGACAAGCGGACTTGCCGAGTCCCAGCATATGGACTCGCCGAGTATTATCGAAAACATATTTTTTTCATTTTTTTATTTTTAGAAAGCCATTATTATCGAAAAAATATTTTAAATATATCAAAATTCATAATTTTTTATTCTCTATAAATAGATATCCATATTAATATAGTTTTAAGATAAAATAAAAAAATTATTTTTTTTAGAGTTTCAGCTCTCGTTATTCATAAATGAATAAAAATCTGATAGATTTTTATTACAATACATTCGTTATTCACTTATGAATAAAACGAATGCTTAACTTTTTTTTTATAGTTTAAGTATCGTTCATATATGAATATGACACGTAATAAAGTTTTCTTACTTAAAATATATTTTTTACATCATCTTTCATCATATATTATGTTTATATATGAATAAAACGTGTATTAGTTGTCGTCATATTTTATATTCATAAATGAATAAAACATTTATCAGATTTTTGTTACAGTTAATTTGTTATTCATATATGAATAAGTAGTATAAATGATACTTAAACTGTAAAAAAAATTAATTATATATTTTTATTCATAAGTGAATAACGAATGTACTGTAGCAAAAATCTGATGCATTTTTATTCACTTATGAATAACGATAGCTGAAAATATAAAAAAAATATTTTTTTTATTTTATCTTAAAAGTATATCAATATAGATGTTTATTTGTAGAGAATAAAAAAATCATGAATTTTGGTATATTTAAAATCATTTTTCAATATAAATAGCTTTTTAAAAATTAAAAAAACGAAAAAAAAAACTATGTTTTTGTATGTATTAAGGTAATGATTAGCATAGGTTAAGGAAAAATGTTTTGTTGTAAACACATGTGTATTCCCTATCAATTCCTCCTGGTACAACGGAGGCTTTTGGGGCAAAAATAAATGAGTGGCTGAGAATGATTCCCACATTCTCAACCTTTTTTTATTTTCTCAATTGAACTTACCTATATATATATATATATATATATATATATATATATATATATATATATATATATATATATATATATATATATATATATATATATATATGGAAAAGTTCAATAGAGAACCATTATTAATCAAAGAACCAAGGAACCAATCCAAAGCGTCGGAATTTAAAGCGATCAACGGCAAAAGGAAGGGTTGTAAACTTTTATAATGGACGCACATGTACCGGATTATAACAAAACTCACTTCATTTTTTTCATTTAATATTTTTTTTAGGCCAAGTTTTTTATCGAAAAAAAAACCGAATATACCGTTGTTCACGATTTTTCGTCATCTTTTCCATAGAGATCAATGACGATATATAAAAAATGAACTTTTTTTTCGAAAAAAACCCACTTAATTTTCTTAATTTTTTCAATATTTAATTTTATTTTTATAAAAAAAAACTAATTATACCAAAAATATTAATTTTTTGTACTCTATTAATAAACATCAACACCGATTAAAAAAAACCTCGAACAGTGTAGATTCACACTGTGAATCAAAACTGTAAATATTTCAATTTTTAACATTCACAATATGAAAAATCTCGAACAGTTCAGATTCACATTGTGAATCTGAATTACTATTATGCACACTGTGAATCTGAGAAGGTTAAAAAAAACAAAAAAAAAACCTCGATCAGTGTAGATTCACACTGTGAATCTAAACTGTAAATATTTCAAATTTTAACATTCACAATGTGAAAAAGCTCCGATCAGTTCAGATTCACACTGTGAATCTAACTTATTATGATGCACATTGTGAATCTGAGGAGGTCCACAATGTGAATCTGAACTGGTTTACAATATGAATCTGAACTGAAATATCGTTTTTTTTAAACATGAATATGAATCTATGTTTAAAAAGTACAAAAATATGAATTTTGATATATTTATTAATTTTTTTCTATAAAAAATAGACCTTAACTTTTTTCATCAAAAAAAAAATGAAGTGAGTTTTTTTCGAAAAAAAAAGTTCGTTTTTTGTATATCATCATGGATCTCAATGGAAAGAGGACGAAAAATCGTGAACAACGGTATATTCAGTTTTTTTGATAAAAAACATGGCCTAAAAAAAATTTTAAACGAAAAAAAGTGGTAGGTTTTTTTTGTAAAGGGTGGAGTTTTTGGTATAATCCTGAAACATCCCAAAAACACCATCTTCATCAAACATCATATAAGAATCATAAACAATGTATCTCAAAATATCATAACAACTGTCAAATATATCAGAGTATAAACATCCCAGGCTGAACAAATGGTGTGTGCACTGCAATCTTCCCGAGCTCATCTTTTGAATACTGAGTACCTGAAACCAAAACTGAAAACTGTAAGCACGAAACTTATTGAGTTCCCCAAACTATCACATACCATACAATAACATATAAAGCAACTACTGGGCCTTGCCCACTACATCGGGCCCCGCCCGGCATCGGATCGAAGTCCGGACTAACTTCGGCCCCGCCCGACATCGGACCGAAGTCCGGAATATACTTGGGCCTCGCCCACTGCATCGGGCCCCGCCCGGCATCGGACCGAAGTCCAGAATATACTTGGGCCTCGCCCACTGCATCGGGCCCCGCCCGGCATCGGACCGAAGTCCGGACTAACTTGGGCCCCGCCCACTGCATCGGGCCCCGCCTGACATCAGACCGAAGTCTGGAACATATAACACATAACATAAACATGCATGAATCACAAAGACATCAAGCATACATAACTACTTCTCGGGTTTCCCCGGCATCGGACCGAAGTCCGGGACACATAACATATAACAGGTAAGCTAAATCACTGCATCGGGCCCCGCCCGGCATCGGACCGAAGTCCGGTACTACTAACATCTAAACGGGCCGACATTGGTGCCTTAGACTCGTTCCTACTGAAGGGAAACTCACCTCACTCTGCTGAAGTCCCGTAGACACAATCCCACACTGCTGAAGTCCCGCAGACTCAACCCCAGCTGCTGGATGACAGATTCCCGAACTGTCAACACCAAAATAACACCCAATTACTAATTGGGTTCTAACACATAACTATAAATGCATACTTTGGATAATTACTACATTACCCCTAGCTTGGCTTACCCAAGCCCAAGGCCCAATCCACAGGTCCAAAGTCAACTAGGATTCAAAGCCCAACATATGGCCCAATTTTCCAAATTAAGGCCCAATTGAGCAGTCTAGTCCAACATGTCTTATTCTAGGGGCCCAATATTATACAACCATCTAGGCCCCAACTATGGCCCAATTTTCCAAATTGGGCCCACACCCTCCTATGGGCCTTATCCTAAAGCCCATTAAATTATTCTAGTCCATTTGCTTGTTCTTGGATGGCCCAACACAAAGCCCAAGTGAAATTAGGGTTTCACATAAAATGATAACGAGGGTTAAGTGTTTCTTACTTAACCCATTAAGGACTTAATCCATTAAGTCCTTTACTCTACTAGATAAGTGATATGGAGTGATTTGGGCTTAATACACACTCCAATCCCAATGGCCCAAAGATGGGTCCAATAAGTCTAAGGCCCAATTACTCACAATTAGGGTTTTCTAAACCCTAATTAGGGTTTCCACTCAAACATGGCTCAATAGGCCCAAAATTAATCTTTAAGCCCATTAGGGTCTTGCTAGGTCCATTAGGGTTTGCTTGTGGGGCACCACTCGCTACCGCCTCGGGTAGTGGTGGTCAATGGCGGCTCACGGTGGTGGTTATGGTTCTTTTCATTACATCTTTTGCTAATTACAATTAGAAGATTTTAATCCACAAATAAACACATACACTAACTATTCTAACACACACACACACACAACCACCCTAGTGGTGGCCGGCGGTGGCTCGTGGCGGCAGCCACCACCGCATGGTGGTGGTGGTTTTTCTTCATTTTCCGGCCAACAAAACACTCTAATCAAAAGAAGTACAGCCACACCCAAACTACAATAAACACACTACACCCTTTGCCCTGAATAGTAACACAGCCACCCACCTGTGGCGTTTGGCGGCGGCAGAATCCCCGAAGAGGCGGCAGCTGCGTCGCACCTCTGTTACTTGGAGTGGCGGCGGCCACACTTCTGTTGGGCAAATGATGGCGAAGGGGTGGTCGGAACGACGCCGGACAGTCGAGTCGGACCCTGAGCATCGACAGCAAAAGAATAAGAAGGAGGAGGATGGCGGAAAAATGACGACTCACACACACCCGGAAACCACGCTGTCGACTGCCCTCGTCCGGAGATAAAAGCTGTTACGCTCGGCGGTTCGGCTGGTCGGAAAAGCGCGACCAAATGGCGACTGCGACTGGGGTGCTCACGCATGGCGGCTGAGGTGCTCACCGGAGGTGGGGTTTGCTTCTTCTAACCACGATATCGGGAAGTCACGGTGGCGTTCCATTGGCACGGTGGTCGTTGGCGGCCTCGTCTGATCGGAAAACGGACGCGAAGGAGAGAGATGGCGGCTGGGGGTCATAAGGTGATGGCGGCTGCTAGAAGGTTAGGTTTAGGGTTCCTGTTCCATTAGAATGAGAGGGAAGGAAAGGTCGTCGGATATATCCCGTATCCTTCCAAACTTTGATCCAATTGTCTAACTTCAGTCCCTCCTCCCAATTTTGTTATCAATTTAAATCCAAATTTTACCTTTTGAACCCTGCTTCCATAATTACTCTCAAATTCGATCCCTAACTTACCAAACAACCCCTTAACCTCTAAAATCTATTCAAATGAAGTCCCAGAGGTACCATTTAACCCTTAAACCTTCCAATATCTTCAATTTAAGTCCATAAATTACCAAACGCACCATGACTTCTGTAATTATGACTTTTAACTCCTCGAAACTAACGTCTCGCTCAATTATTATTCATTTTAGGGCTTCTATACATTTATTTATTTATTTTATAAACGGGGTGTTACAAATCTGGTGTGTGTGCGTTCAATGTCAAAGTGTACATCTATTTCCTTGGCCGTTGATCGTTATGATTTCCGACGCTCACGATTGGTTCCTTGGTTCCTTGGTTAATTATGGTTCTCTTTTGAACCTCACCCTATATATATATATATATATATATATATATATATATATATATATATATATGTGTGTGTGTGTGTGTGTGTGTGTGTGTGTGTGTGTGTGTGTGTGTGTGTGTGTGTGTGCGTGCGTGTGTGTGTGTGTGTGTGTTCAAATGTGAATTGACATCTATTGTGCGGACCTGTTGACAATGCTATTATGCGAGAATGACAGAATATATATTATTTGATAATTTGAATACATTCAATCTTACATAACTATTGTTATTATCACACATTCTCACTAGTTAAATCGTCTATATAACATTATTTTAGACTTTTTTTATTATTATTCTCATTCTGTCAGAATGTTTAGTGTGCGTTTAGTTGCGGAAAAATGGGCCGTTTTCCGGAATTTTTTTTCAAGAAAAACGAGAATTTTGAAAACGCGTTTAGTTCGTCTATTTTTCTAAATATTTCACGGAAAATGAAAATTTTATGTTTTCTAAAATTACAAAGAAGTTGGAAATTTTTGGAAAACCGATAATCATTGTTTTCCACATTTTTCTAATTCCAAAATTTTTCTAAAATATAAACACTCACTCCCACCCCGTCCACCTCTACCTATCCTCACCTTAACACCCCAAATCCACCACACCCCTACCTACCTACACTCACTCCCACCCCCACCCCCATAAACACACATGCACACACACACACACCAATCCCCTACACACACCAACCCCCACAAACACACACACCCACCCCCACAAACACACACACCCACACACCCACACCCACACCCACCCCCACAAACACACACACCTCACAAACACGCACACACACCAACCCCCACAAACATACACACACACACTCCCACAAACTCACACCCACACTCACCCCACCCCACACCCACATACACACACACACACCCACCCACCCAACACCACTACCACAATCATCGACCTACCATCACCATCATCATCACCATCACCACCAGCACCACCATCGTCGCCACCCCGCTGCCACCGCCTCCACAACCACCATTGTCGCAATCATCGACACCACCACTGCCCCCTGCCGCTGCCCCCACCACCGCCACCATCCCCATGCCCACCCTACCACCGCTATCGTTTTCTAAAAATGAAAACCGATAGAATACACATCTAAATCTAAAACACGTTTCTAATTTTCTAAAACTGAAAATGAAAAATGAATAAGTTTTAACTAAATGCATTTTCTAAATTTTCCAATGAAAACCGGAAATGGAAAACAAAAACTGAAAAAGGAAAACGAAATACAGAAAATGAAAACTGTTTTTCCGTAACTAAACACAACCTTATTGATTTGTATTCTGTAAGAACAAAAATGAATAAGAATTAATGAGAATGCATGAAAATAACAATAGTTGTGTGATGTTGAACACATTTACATTACTAAACAACCTATTCTCTTAGTAATTATCATAGAATAACACTGTCCACACATCCGCACAATAGTTGTCCATCCACATTATAACCTAGCCCTATATATATATATATATATATATATATATATATATATATATATATATATATATATATATATATGATACCATGATTCATAGCAGTGGTTCCGTATCTGTCGATCTTTTGGTTATGGTTGCTCAGGCATGAAGATGAGTCTGGTAATTGTTTTGAGCCTCAGTGGCGATGTCGGTTTGGGTTGAATGGTGCATACCTAGATGAGTTTGTGGTTTTGAGGTCTCGAAGGCCTTGCTCGAGGTCGTGCATTAATGTAACATCCGGACCTTCGTACACCATAATGTGTGTTTCATGAGTGGACTCGACGAGTCGTGAGTCCGACTCGCCGAGTAGGGCCGAGTTGCCAGCGGGGATTTAATGAGTGGACTCGCTGTGTCAGAGAGCTGACTCGCCGAGTAGGTGCTAGGCAGAGAAACCCTAATTTCCCGGGGGTTGGGGCCTATATAAGGGAACTTATAGCCTCATTTGCGGCTCACCTTCACTAAGAGTAAACCCTAACATCCTTTTGAGCTAGAGAGTGTGAAAGGAGCTAATTTTGGGGTCTTTTGGTACATTTCTTTTGAAGAGGAAGGGAGGATTCATTAAGGAACAAGAAGGGGGACAGTGGATCAATGTTATTTCGTCCAATAGCTTCTAGAGAAGGTAAAAAGTTCCCACCTTTCTCCTTGTGGTGATTAGATCTCATGTTTTGATGAATAGGGTTTTCTATCACCTTTTTGTTGAGATATGGGTACATGGAGTCCCTTTCTAGGCCTAGACTTCAGATCTGGACCTTGTGAGATCCAAACGGTCCAAAGGCTCAAGCTTTATTCAGTCACTTACATAGTTATTTTGTTTTGGTGCCTTGTTGGGGAATGTATTGGCATTATGAGCCTTATATGCCATGTTTCAACATAAAGCTTGCAGCTTTACGTGACAATCGACCCTTAGGATGATAGATCTAGTGTTTGGAGTGATAGATCTGCCTTAAATCGTCTGAATGAGGAATCTGATCGAAGGGACTCGCCGAGTCGGTGAGGGTTTGTCCCGATGGGTTTGATTGTACGATAACTTGGCGAGTTAGGGGTCAACTCGACGAGTTGAGCTGGACTTTCTTGAGACTTCTGAGGAAACGAGGGGACTCGACGAGTCGTAAGAGTGCACTTGACGATTCGGGTCAAACATGGACTGTTGACTCGTGTTTGACTTCTGTTGACTTTAGGGTTTGGTTAACATGAGTATTGGAGACAATGGAGGGGTAAAATAGTCTTTTACCCAATTCGAGAGTTAGATAGAGAAGGATAACATTTGGTTAGTGAGAGTCGAGAATCGAGTATTAATTAGAGATATTTACCCTATGTGTTAGGCAGTGACTAGTTCGAGGATAATTGCTTGCTGCTTGCAAGGCGAGTCTTCTCACTATACTTACCTTGAGTGGTACCTTTGTGTGATTGAGCTGTTTATTGTGATTATCTGTGTATTTGATATTATGTATTATGTCTTTGTGATTTATGCTGAGTATTGTTATTATGAGCTTACTGAGTTGGGACCGGAGGGTCCCTCTGAGATACATTGACCGGAGGGTCTTATCGAGTTATAACATAGATTGGCTAATGAGCTGTGTGTGGTATTTTGGGGAACTCACTAAGCTTCGTGCTTACCGTTTTATGTGTTTCATGCTTTTCTCAGGATCGCGGGAAGGCACCGGGTTGATTGTACACACCAGTGAAAGAGTTATGTTTTTGAGGATCCTGGATTTTAACCAAACAATTATGGAGTTGCAAATTGTAAATTAAATAAATGAGTTGTTTTTGTGAAATGTATTATGAGAATTATGTGATTTTAAATGAAAATTTTGTTTTGAAAATTTTCGGTGTTACAAGTTGGTATCAGAGCCTTGGTTTGAGGGATTCGGATACACCTTCAGGTAAGTCTGTGTGACATCCCCAAAATCACGGCCAAAAAAGACCGATTTAATTTATGCTATTTAAAATAATTTCAGAGTAATCTTTTGATTAAAAGAGTTGCGGAATTTGTTCCCAAAACAAAATATGATAAAATAAAATTTATCAAAGCATTTCTTAAAGAAATGTATTTTTATATATAATAAAACTCGGGATGTCATGTTCCGATACAGACCGAAAGCATAAACGACACATTATAAGCTTTACAACAATTATATACAACTACAGGCCTATAAACAAAATAACTTGATGATTCATCCAACTTATGCTCTCGCGCCACTACCTGTAATACAAATAAAACTAAGTGGGTCAGGCTTGGGAGCCTGGTGAGCATATAGGGTTTTCAACCCACAATAAATAATTATATTTAATTTCACCAACCAACAATAACCCGATTACCCATTCCCGTTATCCTCACTTTACGTCCCTAAAACAACAACTATCACAAGGGACCTAGCCTAAGGATTTTCATCGGGATGGACATTACTACAAAGGGGTTTCCTCAACAATAGATGTCCTAATGGCAACCACTGTCACACCCCCAAACCAGAATGGCGGAAACATTCGGGGGTGGATGACTTCACATAGTATCATAACAGTTGAATATTGTAAAGAAAGTAAGCACAACCTTCATAAATATAATAAAAAAAACTTACATTGTTGCGTGTAATACATGTTTCAAAAGAATATTACAAATATGATGATTTAAAATGTTTTGATAACAGACGCCTTAGCGTTCCTTCTCCAAAAGCTGATGGTTACCTGTATTACTGATTCCCTGAGAAATACAAGTAGTTTTGAAAGAGTGTCAACAATTAAGTTGGTGAGTTCATAAGCGTTTTTGTACTGG